AACAACAACAACATCACAATACAGTATAATACAGTCTTTTGTAGACTGACTTCTGTTATCAAGCATCATGGTTTCAAGTTTCATCTGTGCTGTGGCTGTATCAGAACCCCATTTCTTCCTATGGCTGGATCATACTCCACAGTAACAATGTTCCACATTTTGCTCATGGGAAGCCTAATAGCTGATCTCAGTTTTTAATCACTTGATTTTTAATCACTCTGGGCTCCTGGCCACTCGTGGGGACACCCTGCTTTGAGTCTGAGAACACGGTACTCTCGGAAAATCATGTGTTTTGTTCGTTTGCTATGTTTTTCGTTGTTCTGTCCTCGTACACTCTCCACCATGGTTCTAGAACCTCAGTGGGAAGGATCCCGTCCATCTGCTGCTGAGAAAGTTGCCAATGCACTTTGGGGAAAGATAGAAGTTCCACTGCCAGGGCATCTCCGCATGACCAGTACACGTCTCCAATGCAAGCTCAACTCACTCCGGGTTTTGTAGCCCACACCGCTGGTGTTCTCAGGAACCTGTGGAATGCTTACAAAGCAGTGACTTTTGACGTGGTTACTCCCCCACCCCTGCCTATGCAGCAAAATGGCTCCGCACCAGCAGTTCCTCCTTAAATGGGAGTTAAAGTAAAGACGGAAGGATTGACAGCAGCTCACATGTATTGTAGTGCTTCCTAGGGGCTTGGTTTGTGCCTTATCTCACGAGGCACATATTTCAAGGAGCGTCCGTACCACTAGTGGAGGCGATTCCAAAGTCATGACAACCGCTCGGTGTGCAGAGTAACTGTTGCTCCCTAGCTTGCAAGGCCATGACCTTTCCGAAGCCAATCACTAGGCCTGTCTTCCGAGGCGCCTCTGTGTTCGACCTACCAACCTGTCAGCCAGTAGTCCAGCAATTATGCCACCCAGGCACTGCTAGCTAAGTGAAAATGTACTGTTACTGCTCCCACTAAACAGAGAAGGAAACGGCCTCACAGGAGAAACTCGTCGGCAGGGGTTCTCGGTTTTGCCTACGATGCAAATTCTAGGGCTGGAAAGCTTGAGTATAGACAGGAAAAAGTTGGGTCCTTTCACACTCTTTCCTTGACCTCAGCGTGGAAACTCCGCCTCCAGTCTCCAAGGAAACCCGGCTTCAAGAGCCTCGGTCACCAGGGGCGGGGCTCAGGTCCCCGCCTCCCCGGAGCTGGCAAAGGCTCCCAGGCTTGGAAAAGCGTCGTTCCCCCATCCTCGGTTGTCACCGTTCATCTGCTCGGCCGCCCTCGCGCTCAGCTGTCCCTTCGTGCCTCGCGCCCCCCACCTCAGCGCGCCGTCCGGAGCGTCTTTCCAGGGCCCGCGCGCCCGGAGCCGGGACCTGGCGCCCCCTGCTGCGCTCCCCGCGCGGCCCGCCCCGCGGCGCTGATTGGCGCCTCCGGGCCACCCCGCCCCCGGCACGGGCTCTGCCCAACGGAAAGTTCCCTGCGCCTCCGGGAGGAAGTTGAGTCTGAGAAAGCAGCAGGCAGGCTGCCCGGGCCTGGTGGCCATGGAGGCGCCCCCTTTGCGCGAGGAGGAGGGGGAAGAGGGGGATGGGAACGAGGCGGGGCCCGAGGGGGCCCTGGGCAAGAGCCCCTCCCAGCTGACAGCCGAGGACGTGTATGACATCTCCTACGTGATGGGCCGCGAGCTGATGGCCCTGGGCAGCGACCCCCGCGTGACACAACTGCAGTTTAAAATCGTGCGGGTCTTGGAGATGCTGGAGGCGCTGGTGAACGAGGGCAGCCTGGAGGCGGAGGAGCTGCGGATGGAGAGGGACAGCCTGCGGCAGGAGGTGCAGGCGCTGCGCGGCGGGGGCGCGCCGGCCGCCGGGGAGGTGAGTGTGGGCGGCCGGGCGCGCCAGGGGCTTTTTCCCTTTACATAATTTATCGTATTTTATTTTTGTTGTTGTTGAAAATATACACAGAACATATGCCGATTCAGCAGTTTCTCCGTGCACACTTAAGTGACACTGATTACATTCTGGGAGTTGCGCGACCGTTCTCACCTTCCTTTTTTGAGTCGTTCCTCCTACAGTAACAAACTCACTGCCCCCTAAGGTTCCTGCGTAACCTGTCGAGTTGCTGTTGTCAATTTGGTCCCACCCAGATAGCTCTTAAAACAGCATAGTGCTCAAGGCAGACATTTTTAACCAGTTAAACAAAACTACTGTTTGTGCTTTTAAGATGACCTCAGGGTATTTTTGGTTCATGGTTTAACTCAGGGTAATAGTTTTGAGGGCACCAACCTTTCTTCCAGGAGCTCTGGTAGCATAGTGGCTAAGACACTTGTCTGCTAACCAGATGGCTGGCGGTTCAAACCCACCAGCCACTCCTCGGAAGGAAGGTTGGGCAATCCTACTTCCGTAGTGATACTGCCTCGGAAACCCAAGGAGGGTCGCTAAGAGTCGGGTTTGACTCGATGGCACATAACAATAACAACAAACTTTTCTTCCACATCCAAGGCCCTCAAAACAATTCCCTACAAGTGTTCAGTCTTTCATTGAGAACCGATGGCACATAACAACAACAACAAACTTTTCTTCCACATCCAAGGCCCTCAAAACAATTCCCTACAAGTGTTCAGTCTTTCATTGAGAACCGTTATAGTGATGAATGTTTATTGAGCGGGAGCTTTGATGACGTAGTCTGTCAGTCACTCCTCAGCAGTGATACCCTAATGATAACCACCTTGGAAACCCAAGGAGGGGTCGCTATGAGTTGCACGTGATTCGATGGCATGAGTTTGGTTTTTGGTGGTTTACTAGGTGCCGGCCCTGTGCTGAGTACAAGGGTCCCAACATTTTTGACCATGACCTAGAGTAGAGGGTGTCAAGTGCTTGCCTGCATCAGTTTGCATAGTGTGTCTTCAAACACAGAGTGCTGGCCCTTGGCCCCAAAGGTTCTGATTTAGCAGGTTTTGAGTGGGACCTGGTGGCTACTAACTGAAAGGTCGGCAGTTTGAACCCAACAGCCGCTCCATGGGAGAAAGATATGGCAGTCTGTTTCTGTAAAGATGACAGCCTTGGAAACCCTACAGGGCAGTTCTACTCTGTATTATCAGGTCGTTATGAGTTGGAATCAGCTCCACTACAACAGTCTGGTTTTGGTTTGAATGGGTCTTGTTCCCAGGACTCCTGGTGGTGTAGTGCCTAAATCATTTGACTGCTAATCAGAAAACTGGCAGTTCAAACCCACCAGCTCCTCCTCAGAAGGAAGATTGGGCAGTCTACTTCCATAGTGATACTGCCTCACCGGACTATGAATCAGAGCCAACTCCAGGGCAGTGAGGTTTTTTTATTTTTTTAAAATCAAGTTCCCAGGAGCCCTGGTGGCATAGTGAATAAGGAATTTGGCTGCTAACCAGAAAGTCAGTGGTTCAAACCTACCAGCCACTACACAGAAGGAAGATGGGGCAATCTATCTCTGTAAAGACTTACAGCCTCAGAAACTCAATGGGGCTCACTAGTTCATCAAGTTCCCAGGGGATACCAATGCTGTTGGCCCACCTGATGCTGCTGGATAAGAAACCACACTTCTAGAACCTTCGACCTCGAGAGAAAAATACATTTTAACGAAATTGAAAACAGTGCATTTGAACACCAAAAAGACACGTACCAGAATGTGGAGCTGCTTTATTCATAATGACCCCAAACTGCAGAGTCCTGATGTAACAGGAGACAATTTTCTCCATTGTGGTTTATGCATACAATGGAATACTATACAACAAAGAAAAAGAACAGACTTCTGATACACCCTACTGTAACTTCATGTGAAATTCAGGAACAGGCAAAATAATCTTTAGTTGTAGAAGGCAGAATGGGGGCTACCCCTGGGGAAAGGCAGGAGGGAAACTTACGGAGAACTAGAAATGATCCATGTTTCACGTGCAGTACTCGATTACAGACTGAGACGTGTGCCAGCAAAGGCCGACAGAAGCAGAGTTGTTGAAATTCACGAGGAAGAGTGATAGTGATGGTTTTCATTAGCTTTTCTGATAGGCTGGTATTTACTCATTCATACATTTTTGCTCAACTGTTTGAGAATTAGTTGCAGACTTTATGATCCTTTATTTCTAACTGTGAATCTCCAAAGACTTACTATTCCATAATCACAACAAATTATTAAACTCAGGAAATTTAATGATGGAGTACTAAGATTGTATAAGCCATCCATGTTCAAAATTCAGCAATTGTCCCAATAATGTCCTTTATGGTATTTTTTTTTTTCTGATGTAGGGTCCTACCCAGAGTCCTACATTGCCACCAGTTCTCTTGGATTAGGGCCCACACTAGTCAACTATGACTACATGCTACTACCTTAACTCGTCACACCTGCAAACACATTATTTCCAAACAAAGTCATATTCACAGGTACCACGGGGCAAGACTTCAACGTTTTTTTTTTTAATTGTGATTTGGGTGAAAGTTTACAGAGCAAATTCACTTTCCATACAGCAGTTCACATACACTTTGTCTCATGACATTGACTACAATTTACCCCAATGCAACAGCTCCCCTACCACTTCTTCCCCATAGTTTCCTCTTCTCTGTATCCATCCCTCCATGCACTCCTGCCCCCTGAGCTGTCTCCCTGTGTATATATAGCCCTTCTGTTCTCCCATGATTGATCTCTCCAAGGAGAGTATCTACCTCAGGTAAATGTTCAACTCCTATGTCTGTCTTTTGTTTGGCTGGAAGCCATAGGAATGGGTTCAGTTCCAGACCTGAAGGGCAGCTAAGGGTCATAGTCTCAGGGGGTCCATCAGGCTCTATCAGACCAGCAAACCTGGTCCCTTTTTTTTTTTTGTTCCAAATGATTTTGAGTTTTATTCCACATTGTTCTCCCACTCCATCCAGGATCTCCTACATAGATCCCCCTCCAAGTGGGTGACGGTGTAGCCAGGTACCATCTAGTTCTTCTGGTCTCATAGTCCGTATAGGCTGAGGACCACATGGTCAACGTATCTTTTTGAGGGACACATACTCATAAGAGATACTTAGAACTTTTGCTTCTTTACCGTCAACAACAAAACCCTTCCACAGTGGAGTCTCAGCTCCTGGGGTCCCTGTTGTGTGTGATTCCGATGCACAGCGAGCCCATGTGACAGGAGAACCATCCCATTGGGTTTCCTAGGCTGTAATCTTCACAGGAGCAAATTGCCAGGTCTTTGTCCCACAGTCACCCTGGGTGGGTTCGAACCGCCAACCTTTCAGTTAGCATCCAAGTACTTACCCATTTGCACCACCAGGGCACCCTCCTCTAGAGGGTCCCTGGGAGCTCCAAAACCAGAGACCATTCCTTTCTGGATGGACAGTCCATATTTGTAAGAGAAACCGTGTACGTGGCATCTTCTCTTACAGGTGAACTTGGGGCCTGACAAAATGGTAGTGGACCTGACAGATCCCAACCGACCCCGCTTCACGCTGCAAGAGCTGAGGGACGTCCTGCAGGAGCGCAATAAACTCAAGGCACAGCTGCTGGTGGCCCAGGAAGAGCTGCAGTGTTACAAGAGGTGTGTTCTTCCTATACATCCAAACTCACCTGGTGCTCCTTGGTGCCAGTTCCTTCTTTTGTTCTTTCAACCAATATACTGAAGACCTACTATGTGCCAGACTGCTTGAACAGTCTCTCTCAGAAAGATCAGCACAAGGCCGGTCCCCACGAGGCAGAGGTTAAAGATGTCCCAAATGTCCAAACTACCATGCCACTCCATCATTTCAGACATTAACTCCTCCTCCTCCTCCCAGTAATCTCCCCCATCTTAGGGTTCTGTATTTGCTGTAACGCCTCACAGAACTCACAGACACCCAAGGGATCATCTCAGGGAGTAGTGGTGGAGGCTGGCAGGCTGGCGAGTCCCAGCTCCGAGAGGGGTGTGGAGGATCCTTCCAATTCTTGGGGTTTAATGAACCTCGATCAGCAGATCAGATGACGGCTGCTATCCCACATCCAGGGGTGAGATGAGGATGAGCAAAGACACAGAACTGGAGCGAGAGGAGGGCGAACCTTCCCGGGAGATTCGTAGGTACACCCTCAAGGAAGCTAAGGGTGGTGATTTGAATTATACCCTCCAGCAAGGCAGGACTCAAGATACATTCCACCTGTGTTGCACCAACAGCAAGAACCCAAGTGGGTGGCTTTAACAATCAGCAGCTCAAGGCAAATCCCACCACAGAGCCGATTGCCAGTCATTATAGGGAATGACTACTACCAGCTGCCCAGCCAAGTTGACACCCGACCTTAACTACCACACCACCCCACACAGGCAGGGATAATAGGATTTACAGTACATCACAGAATGGAGGACAGCGGCTAGAAGGGCCACATCAAGCAATTCACTGCACAGACACTGTTCCAGGCCCTCAAGGCACAACAGTGAACAAAACAGGGAAACCCCATGCTAGTCTAGTGGGGGAAACAGACAGTCAAAAAAAAACCCTCAAAATTGGCACCCACAGTAATGGTGGTAGGTGCTCTAAAGAACATAAGACACAGGATAGTGAAGTGCAGTGGGCTGTGGGACGGTGTGCTTTTCAGATCAGGTGGTCAGGGAAGACCCCTCGGGTGTGAATGATAAGAAGCAAGCAACCATGTAAAGATTTAGGGGCAAAATGAAGCAGGAGGTATAAAGGACCTGAGGTAGGGACCAGCGTGGCCAGTTTAAGATACCAATATGGTGGAACCCAAAAATGCAAAGTAGAGAAGGGCCAGGAGACTGGGAGGTATGCCTCACCACCATAGGAAGGAGCTTTAATTCTATGTTAAGTAAAATGAGAACTCACTGGAGTTTCAATCAAGAGAATGATGAGCTCTGATTCACTTTTTTAAAAGACCAGTATGTATGGTGGTTTCGACAACTAAACTACTGTGGTTATGTAAGAGAATGTCCTTGCTCTTAGGAAATGCACACTGAAGTGGTTAGGAGTAAGGGAGTCGTCAGATGTCTCCAACTTATTCTTACATGGTTCAGAAGGAAGATGGGTGGGTGGGTGGATGGATGGATGTATGGACCGATACATGGAGAGGGAGACACATAATTAAGACCTATGTAAAGGGCATATAGGAGCTCTGGTAGCATAATGGCTAAAGCACTTGACTGCTAACCAGAAGGCTGGCGGTTCAAACCCACCAGCCACTCCTCGGAAGGAAGGTTGGGCAATCCTACTTCGTAGTGATACTGCCTCGGCAACCCAAGGAGGGGTCGCTATGAGTCGGGTCCGACTCCACGGCACATAACAACAACAACAACAACAAAGGGCATATGGGAAATCATTGTACTAATCTTGCAACTTCTCTGTAAGTTTGCGGTGATCTAAAAATCAAATGTTAAAAAAGATGACAGGCAGCAGTGTAGAGACTGGACTGTAGGACAAACAGGAGAGGAAATCAGGAATTATGTGGGGAAGAAAGAACTGTTGCTCTATCATGTCTGGAACGTACGGTATCCATTTGCACCACCGTTTCCCAAAATGTTTTCTTTTATGTAGGTGTTTCTTGAAAAGGGTGGTCTTTATCCTATTGGTTGTCAAATAATTCTGGGAAAATATTAAACAAAGCAAGTTTCCTTATAAGCAGAAGAAAGAAAAGCCAAGTGTCCAACACTGGGCCAACAGGGCTCCTTCCTTCAAACATAGATGGTTAAAAAGAGGAACAGCTACACTGCTGATGCCAGGAGGAGCTTGCTAGTGAATAAAGCAGCACAGTTTATTTCCAGTTTTGATGCACACCTCCGTGTGGTCCAGGCTAAAAGACAGCCGATTCTGCTTAGCATCCAGTGTTGCGTATACTCTGGAGAAACCAGCATGTCAGTGAGACATTCTCTTAGCAAATATATCCACTTGGAGGCCTAAGTTCATACTAATGACGGTTTGTAACAGATGGGAGATGTAGTAGGTTGTTTCCAAGGATGGGCACCATGGCTTTTCCCATCCTGTGTGCCTTCTGCAATGAGACTTGGCCACTCCTCTGAGCAAGAGTGACTCCGTTTTCCCTCTCCTCGAATCTGGGCTGGCCCTGGGACTTGCTTTGACCAATGGAATGTGGCAACAGTGATGCTATTGGGCTTCCTAGGCTCAGGTTGAACCACCACCACCTGTTGCCCTAGGGTCAACTCCTGACTCATGGTGACCCCGTGTCAGAGAGGAACGGGCTCGAGGGTTTTCCGTAAGTGGATTGCTAGAACTTTTTTCCAGGGACCACTGGGTGGACTTAACCTCCACCCTTTCCATCAGCAGATGAGAGCATCCTTTCCATTAACAGATAGGAGTGTTCATTGTTTGCACCACCCAGAGGGACTTCTCAGGTTCTAAGCTGTTGTTAGGTGCCAGAGAGATTGTTCTGACTCATAGCAACCCTGTGTACAACAGAACGAAACACTGCCCTTGAACTATGGTGTCAGCCAGGTTTTAAGAGGCCTGTTTAATCAAATTAGTTACTACTTCATTTTACAAATGAGGAAACCAAGGCTTAGGCTAAAGAATTTATCCATGGTCATACACCTAGAAAGTGGGGGAGCTTGAAGTAGTAGCCAATGCAATTAGAGAAAGAAAGAAGATACAATTAAGATTGCAAAAGTGAAGGGAAATTCTCAGTATTTGCTGGTTTCTCTAGAGCTCTAAATCATTATATTTTGCGGTTGTTGTTTTTGGGGAGGTTAGGTGCCATTTCAGCTCTGACTCGTTGTGACCCCACGTACAACGGAACAAACCCCTGCCCCATCCTGCACCACCCTCACGGTCATTGCCGTGTGTGAGCCCACTGCTGCTGCCCCCATCTCAGTCCATCTCATTGAGGGTCTTGACCCTCTACTTTCTAAATACCGTTGTCTAAGAATAATCATTAACTCTCTTCACTTCCAGAGCTGCACAGATCAGAGGTTTGCAACCAAACAATCCATGTATTGGCCTTTTTTTTTTTTTTTTTGCCAGTGGCCTGATTCCACCAAGAGAAGGTCTAGAAGGAAGAAGACAAAACGATGCCCTGGTTGCCGGGGCCGGCAATGCCAGCGCTAACAAGGAGGAGAAGACCATCATAAAGAAGCTGTAAGTCCCTCCTTTCTGCCCTGTGTCCACTAAACATTTGCTGAAGGAAGGGGAAGGGTGAGAAGGAGCTGGCCAGCTGCCTGGGGCAGGGAGGTCCTCCTCTCTCCGGGTGATACTGTCCTCGATATCAAAGTCAACACCAGTGTAATCCAACATCTGCCAGGCAGTAGTCTAAACGCTAGGCTTATATTAACTTGTTTAATCATCACAATGACTCTATGAGAGAGGTACTATTGTCCTCATTGACAGATGGGGAAATACCACCAAGGGGTAAAGTAACGTGCCTAAGGTTAACAGTGACGTTAGGATTTGAACCCAAGGCAGTGTGACTCCAGATTCTACACTTGGTCTCCCGGTGATATAATAACAATAACAAAAGTAATCATTTACCAGCAATAACCAGGAATAACACAGTAACAGTAATTGTCGGTACTTAAGGGGACTAATCCATCATATTCCCTTTGCTTTCAATTTGAGGTGAAAATTTGGGCTCCAACTAAAAGGTTGTAGGTTCGAGTCAACCCAGGGGTGCCTTGGAAGAAAGACGTCGTGATTTACTTCTGAGTAATCAGCCATTGAAGACACTGTGGATCATAGTTCTCCTCGGAGACACATGGGGTTGGTAATGCAGTACTTTGCCTCCCTTTGCTGGCGTCTAAAGCTCTTTAAGACTGTGGCTCTAGGAAATTCACACAAGTTCCATAAGGGGACTCGGATGAGCCTGAAGATGTTCATGGCAGTGGGGTGCTGAAGTCACCCTGGGGGTCTGTCCTCCGGAGACGGAGCGTTATGATGGCTTTAGAAGCAACCAGTTAGATGTCTTGTGTGGGAGAAGGATTGGAGAGGACAGAGTCAAAGCAGCCAGTGAGAGTATTTCTTTCCAAAGATAGAGTCTTCCAGGAAAAGCTAATGAAAAAGTGCCCCCACACTACACCAGGTGTAGGGTCTGATGGTGTTTAGGACTCTCACCGGCCAAACGTCTTACTGTAAAGGGGACTTCTCTAGGAAGGAGAAGCCGCTGTTCTCTTTTGGCTCAGGGTGTTCTTTGAGTCACTTAAGTGGAGTTTGAGACTAATGAGGCAAAAATAAAATGCTTGTCCCGTGCAGGCCTGAGGACACATGTTTAATGAGTGGCGGCAAGGGCTTCCTGGTGAAACAAGGTCACTGAACTAATGGAATGAGCGAGTGAGTGAGCTAGGCTAGCTAAAGAAGTCATGCTAAGGAGGACTTCTGTCGTATCCTGAGGACAACGAGAAGCATGGAAAGGCTTAAGCTGATGAATGTCGTGGTTGGCCCCAGGTTGTGGTGTGGTCAAGGCAGCTGCCATGTGAACATGCAATGGTTAATGCCCAGTGGTTAAGCGCTGGGCTGGTAACCAAGATGTTAGCAGTTTGAACACACTGGCAGCTCCACAGGAGAAAGACCTGGTGATCTGCCTCCATGAAGAATCCAGCTTAGGAGAGCCTATGGGGTGGTTCCACCGTGTCCTACAGGGTTGCTGTGAGTCCTGACTGACTCCATGGCAACAGAGGCTGTTGTGCTCATCATGGTGGGGCTTGGACTGGGGGCAGGGTGAGAAGTGGTAGAATTAGGAACATATTACATATTTGAAGAAGAGTAGATGGGACGTGATGACTAAAATACAGCAGATGACAGAAAAGAGTCGGACACTTCCCAGGTTTCTGGATGGAAAGATGGGGGGCGGGGAGCGATGTCATTCCCTAAGACAAGGAACTGGCTGGGGTGCGGGATGCAAGTTCAGGGCCCGAGGGCTGAGCAGAGCCTCAACCCCTGTATCCAAACACACTGGCCACGGGCCACAAGGCGGGGCCTGGCTCGAACCCAGTGTGTAGACTGTGGTTATAATGCCTTATGTGAGGCCATGTGGCTAGGAAGTGACAGGCCAGGTGCAAATGCAGACCTGACTCTAAGGCTAGGTCTGAGGCCTGATAACATTAATGATGATGACACTAGGACACCCCCTGCAGGGCTGGCCCAGTCCCAGCCACTCGTAGCACAGCTGCTAGGGTCACCCAGGTGACTTGGGTCAGGGTGTCTGACATCATCTGTCAATGTATCCCTGTGGGTCTAGATCCTGATTGCACAACATACTATGTGGCCTTGGGCCTGTGAACCCACAGAAGCTGTTTCCTTATCTGTAAAATAGGGGTGTTAACCGTACTCACCTCATGGGGTTTGGTTGTTAGTTGCTATGGAGTAGATTCCAACTCAAGGTGCCCCAATGTGTGCCGAGTTTTCAAGGCTGTGACCTTTCAGAAGCAGATGGCCAGGACTGACTTGTGGACTGACCTCTGAGGCGCCTCTAAGTGGGCTCAAACTGCCATTCTTTCAGCTAGTACTCGTGGGGCTGTGACGAGTGTGAAATTAGTTATTCTATGGAGAGCACTGGTAGCATAGTGCCTAAGGCACTTGACTGCTAACCAGAAGGCTAGCGGTTCAAACCCACCAACCAGCCACTCCTCAGAAGGAACATTGGGCAATCTACTTCCATAGTGATACTACCTCAGAAACCCGAGGGGTCACTATGAGTGGGTCCGACTCGACGGTACATAACAACAACAACATGGAGAGCACTAGAACTGTGCCTGGCCCATAGTAAAACCACCAAAACCAGCTGCTATCAAGTCAATTCTGACTCCTAACAACCCCACCTGGGCCAAAGTAGAATTGTGTTCCATAGAATTTTTTGCCTTGTGGGTTATAATTTGTTGGATTCTGTTTTTACCCACATACAGGGCAGGCTTAAATAACCACCCAAACATCTCAGGATTTGGATTGGGATGGATGCCTTACCAAGCAGATGAAAACAATATGGCACCCGTTCTTTAGAAACTGGTTACTGAGAAGTCGACTCTGATGCATGGTGCCCCCATGTTTGTCAAGGGGAACTGCATGCTAGAGGGGTTTCAATGGACAATGTTTGGAAGATCACCTAGGCTATCTTTCTAGGCTCCTCTGGTGGACTCAAACTGCCAACCTTTTCGGTGAGCAGCCAAGCATTACTGTCTGCACCACCTGGCCATCTCCCCATAATCAGTTGCAAGAGCTGCTTATGGATTTCCTGGAGGTTTTCTCACCCGCGACGTCATTTCCTCTGCTTGCTCTAAAGCCTCTCTCTCTCTCTCCACCCAGGTTCTTTTTCCGGTCAGGGAAGCAGACATAGACTAAGACCATGACTAAGGCAGTGAGTATCAGAGTGGAGGAGACACCCCACCAAGAAGATGTCAGAATTCATCTCTGTGCCACATGCACATGCCGTGCCTGCTCGTTCACTTCGCCCAAGCTAGTCTGGGCAGGAAGGAGATGAGGTTCTCCTGCAATCCTTTTCCCCCCGGTTACGAACTGGGATGCCCTCTGAAGGTAGGGCCAGGGCAGGTGGAGCCAGGGCAGGTGAAGCAGGCTAGAGAGCAAACAGAAAGTGCGACGAGGCCCACCTCTTACCCCCACTTCCCCTGCCCAGAGGGCTCTCCGGAGTGCTGACGCGTGTCCTGCTAACCCCATCCTGCACGTGACTTTGGTCTCTAATGTGAAGCAGCAAAAGGCATCAGCTGAAAGCATGGAGGGAGAAAATAATGCAGGAAAATAGGATTTTGAAATTCCCATGGTGACTTCACTGATATTTAGTGAATGTTGGATCTGGCTAATGTGACTTTTTTGAACATGATTTTGTATTAAAGTAAAATGACTTTACTTTCTGGAACTGCTTTAGAGGGGTCTCTTACAGTTGGAATGGTTTATACATACCTACCACACACTCCACTGAGTCCAAATGCTGACCCACTGATTCTGTGTGCTGCTACGCAAGACGAAAATGCTGCCGGTTAGAACTTGAAACACCATTGATTTTAAGACTCGCCCTGATTCAGATATTGAGATGGGGGAGTGTGCATGTAGGAATCAATGAAACAGAGACAGTGGGTGGCTGTGTTCTGCAGTGGAGCTAATGAACATGCTGAACGCATCCCAGGGGCCGGCCCTCTTAGTACGTAGCAGCTCCCTGGACACTCCATACCTGCTCTGTGGATTTCCTCATTTATTCTTCGTAACAACTCAGTGGGAAGGGGACTGGTATGAATCCCTACTTTATACACTCAGCAACCAAGACTCAGAAAGGTTAATGCCTTACACAAGGTCACATAGCAAGGAAGGCACAGGCCACATGCAAACGCGGGCCTGACTCTGAGGCTGGGTCATAACATGACTATTTTTACACAAATAACGTGCACAGCGGTGCACCTCCCGTGTTATTTTCCTTAATGTGCTACATGCATTATATGTGTGGGCGTGATACTTACGTGGGTTATTTGCAAAAAGCAGATTAATCACAACAAGGCTCTCCTGGTTCCCTTGCCCAGCTCCATGGTAAACACCTTGCACACATGGTCTCACCATAACCCCACCAAGTGGGCGTTATTATTCCTATCACACACTCGAGGAAACTAATGCATAGGAGGGTTAAGGGGCCTTCCCAAGGTTCCCAGGTTAGAAAGTGGACTTGTGCCCGGGTACAAACTCCACAAGCCAGATTTTGACCAGTCTGCCTACCAAGAATGGTCAGCAGTGTTGACAGTTCTGGCCCAGAACACCATCCTGACTGGGTCATTAGACCCTGCAGAAACCGCAACCTGGTGGGTTCTCTCTTCGAAGGAGGGAAGAAGAGTTTCTGTACCTTGGAGGTGAGAGCCAACTTGGGAAACAGTGCCGTGTGGTCCAATTTCAGAAGCATGCTCACCAACAGGACCAAGGAGCAGCGAGCTCCCAGAATAGAGAGTTCTAGAAGCGGGCAGGTCAGCTCCTGGGCCTGCCATTTGGTATGCAGCTCTGGTCTCGCTCCTCTAGGGCAACAGCCCTGCCTGATACCCTAGAGCCTGGCTATGGAAGTAGGCCTCCCTATACCTGGGCCATTCTTGCCTCAGTTTCCCCACATATAGGGTGGCCATCAAGTCTAGAGGCTCTTAGTGTGTGTTGATTATCACTTGTTTCCAAACTTGGTGTCACTCTTTGCCACTGTTCTCCTGCCCCTTGCTCCCTCACGGGGACAGATGGCCAGAGGACCTACTCAGAAAGAACAACAGGTTGGAAGTCTAGGCTGCTCTGACACCCTTGGATTCAGAAAAACCAAAAAAAAAAAAAAACAAAAAAACCCACTGCCCTCGAGTCGATTCCGACACATAGCCAGTGACCCTGTAGAACAGAGAACTGCGCCACAGGGTTTCTGAGGCCATCAATCTTTAAGGAAGGAGACTGCCTTATCAGTCTCCCATGGAGTGGTGGTAGGTTTGAACTGCCGACTTTCTGATTAGCAGCCAAATGCTTTAACCACTGTGCACCACCAGAGCTCCTTTGGACTCAGAAATATGACAACAAAAAATGCTCAGAGAAAGACCCTGACAAAAAGGGGAAAAAGTGGAACAATTTCAAATGCCTAAAAAAAAAGCCTCGTTTTGTTGCAAAAAACCAGACCTACTATACTAGTTGAGACTGAACTGCCTGAGACCACTGCCCCAAGGTCCTTGGCAAATCCTGAATCAAACCCAACCTGAGGTCACCCTGTAGGCTAACTAACAAACTGGCTTATAAAATAATGAATACAACCGGTAAGTTCTGTGCTTCTTTAAAAAATCAACTCTATGAGGCCAACAGTCAGCAATTACCTTGCAACAAAGATGAGAATGTAAGGGGGCAGGGAGACTAGATTAATGGAAACCTAACAACCAGAATGGACATGAGAATGTTCACACATTCACCAGCATCACTGAACAACTTGGTTGAAATTGTGGAATGAGAACCTAAACTGCTGTGAAAACAAACCTTCACTGAAAATAATTCAAACAAAAAAGCTCAGAGAACAACTCTGGGTGAAACACCACGCTGAGGTGTGGGGATGGCAGCAGGGTGGTCCTGGGAGCATTTCTCCCAAGCAGGGTCTGCCTAACACCAGACAATAGAGCTGGGAGTCACTGGGGTGGCTGAAGCATTAACTCTGGCAATCCTACTTCCATAGTGATACTGCCTCGGAAACCCAAGGAGGGGTCGCTATGAGTCGGGTCTGACTCGACGGCATATAACAACAACAACAACAAAAGTCTCCCTGAGGTAACCACCGTCACTGTCTCTGTGTTTCAGAAGAGCAAACTGAAGCAAAGGGGGTAAACTTGCCCAGCGTTGCCCAGCTCAGGGTGACAGGGAGTCAGAACTGTCCCAGGGCCCAACTCCTCAGCCACCAGGCTCCGCTGGCCTCTGCAGCGATGATGTAATGATACCTGACAACAGACTCCTCAGGACACTCCCTGGCCGGGCAGGTGGGCAGGTACTCTTCCCAGCTGAGCCGTCTATCCAAGGCCACATGGCTGACAAGTCGAAGCTGGTGCCGGAACTGGATCTGCCTCCAAAGCCAGGGCTCCAGTTACAGTTCTGCCGTGTCCCAAGGGCAGAGCACAGGGACTAAGGAAGGTGAAGGGGCATTCTGGAGTGGGCAGTGGGTTACGTGGTAGGACGGATGTGGGCGGTGGGGTGGACTCACAGCAAAGGCAGAGTGGCTGGCAACTCTGAGTCATGTACCACAGAACCAAGTCCAGTGGCTGAGAACAATTTGGGCAGTTATAACAGCTACCGCGGACAGCTGCTCCCTACGCACCATGGTTCTAAGGGCTCGATATGCGTGAACCTTTAATCCTTACCACCACTCTACCCGAGAAAAAAAATCCAAACCTACTGCTGTCAACTTGATTCCAACTCATAGCAACCCCTATGGGGTTTCCAAGGCGGCAAATCTTTAAGGAAGTAGATTGCCAGTCTTCCTTCCGCAGAGTGACTGGTGGGTTTGAACTGTGAACCTTCTGGTTAGCAGTCAAATGCCTTAGGCACTGCACCACCAGAGCGCCTCACCACCACTCTAAGATCCCTACAGTACAGATGAGCAAACTGAACAGTTTCTGGCTCCCCAGGACAGGAACCAAAACTGAGACTCACATTGGTGTGTGACCCTGCGGTGAATTAACACCGGAAATCCACCCAACTTTCTTCCACCTCAACCTTGTGAGAACAGAAAGACATACAAGGGGCCTTGCCTGGCAATAAATATTTTAATTTTTTTTGTTTCATTTTTATGATGACAAATAATTTTCAAGTTTATTTCCTTTCTTTTAAATACAAAGCTAAACCACAAACAGGTATAACCAAGACATTTCATCTCACACTTACACGCTGCTGTGGGATCCTCCTCCAATTCGCTGACCGCGCAGGCGTGGGGTAGGGGGAAGACTTTCTTAGGTAGCACCGTCACGAGGCCTGGGAGGATCAAGGACGAGGACAGGCTCCCATACCTGTCTCCATTCACATTTGCCTGGGACCAGGGTGGGCAGGGGACTCCAGGTCACGATTCCAGAGCCCCGGACCCCTGGACTAAAGGTCAACAGTGAGGGAGTCCATTTCCTGGTAGGAGGGAGGAGGAACGGCCCTGCTCCTCCTGCCATCACAGTCGAGGTGAAGACTTTTGCCTGCGCCTTGATCCCTGGGCCACGGAGCCCTGCCCACTGCCCTCCACACCTGAGGGCCTGCCTCTGAGGCTGGCGGTGGCGGCGGGAGGGTCCTGCATTTCTGGGCCGATAGGCTCATGAGTCAGTTCCTGGCTGCTTCTTTGAAGGAAGGCCGCCACTAGGTGCTGTGACACTCAGAAGGCTTTCGCAGCAGGTCTGCAACTTTCAACCCAGCAGAATCAGGTGAGGGATATGGCGGGGGGTTGGGGTAAGTAATTTATGGTCCCACTACAAAACTTTATTTTTGATTAGAATAGAGTACCATCTCAAATCTCTCCTACAAAAAAAAAAAAAAAAAAGCAACAAGCAAAATGCTGCAACTTCACTCATTTCAAGACCCATATACATGTAAGTTGTTTTCTGTGGTTTTTTCTTTTTTTTTTTGATTTTCTATTTTTATGATTTTTATTATTTTTTAAAATAAATTCAGTGTTCACATTTCTATAAAGAGTTATTAACCCAGTTTCCGGAAACCTGCCCTGGCGGGGGGAGACGAGTGCTCCCGGCCGCCCACATCGAGTCTGATCACCTGCCCTGATGCATCTGGGTGCCAAGAAAAGTGGCACCCTGTGGAAGAGTAACTCCCCGCCGGCCTGGCTCCACGGGCCGCGGGGTCAGTAAGCTTTCGAGAAAGCAGAGGGGAAGACTAGCTCACTGTGAAACCTTTTTGAAAAATATTCATACGCTTCAACGTGCGCCTGGAGAGATGCTGGGAGAACAAGAGCTTGGAGACATCCCGTCCGGGCTGTTGGGAGGCAGTGTCTTCCTGCGTCCACCTGTCCTCGGACGTCAGGGGGGCGGAAGGGGGCAGAGTCCTGGCTCTTCAGTTGGAGGCAGAAGCGCCCACCTTCCTAAGTCCACGTCCGCCTCTTTCCTCTAAAACCTGTGCCGAGTCTTGGACTGCGTGCACGGGAAGCACAAACATTCGACTTGTATGCAAAAAAGGTACAAAAACAACTCGAATATAAAAGTTTTGGTAATATAAGGCCATCTGTTCAAGCCCACCTTGGAAACCTGTAACAGATATTTAAATACTACAGTGAAAAGGCATCTTAATATACTTTTTTAAAAACATCTGAAGTCATCCACTAAGATTTAAGTGTGTAAAAGAAAAAAAAAAATTTTCCCTTTGAGGGCACTTTGTCCAGCGAGGGGCACGGCGGGTGGGGGGCTAATGCTTTAGCCACGGGTAGGCTTCGATGGAGGCCTTGCTGCGGTCTCCGTAGTCGTACAGCAGCTCCTCCCCAGCCGCGATGTCGCGGGACGCGATGAGGATGAGGTGAGGCACGCCGTCGATGTCGTGCAGCTTGGTCTGGCAGTTCCCGCACTTGCTATGGTTGATCAGTCTCCCCAGGCGGTTCGTCTCGCGAGTGGCATCCACGCTGCAGGGGAGACGGGGGCACCACAGAGGGTTACAGAGGGAAAGGGGCACTCGAGTCTGCTGCAGGGTGGATGCACCATGACGTCTCGGGGACAGCAGTCCAATGCCAGCAAATTCCTGTGAGCCTAGAGGGGCTCCAGGGAGGGTGGCTGGGGTAGCAGTGGGCAGGCCAAAGGCTTCTGATGAAGGCACATGAGACAAGTGTTAAGAAACAAAACAACCCAGCTGCCATCGAGTCAACTCTGACTCAGTGCCTCCACTTGTCAGAGGAGAACTGAGCTCCACACGGCCTTTCAATGGCTGACTTTTCACAAACAGATCTCAAGGCCTCACTTCCAAGGCATTTCTGGGGACAGTGGAACCGGCAGCCTTTGATTAGTAGCTGGACATGCTATTTCCATCACCCAGGGACTCCGAGGCAGCTTTAGTTTTGCAAAATAAATAAACGAACAAAATTCAGCTACTCTGGCTGGACACAGGGGCAGGTGGCCATTTTCTGGCTGCTCCAGTCAGACACCCTGAGGAGGGAGCACCCCGGTGAGCCTCTAAGCAGGTTTTCTTTCTTTTTTTCCAGTTTTTACTGTGATTTGGGTGAAAGTTTACAGAGCAAATTCATTTTCCAAACAGCAGTTCATACACATTTTGTTCCAAGACATTGAGTGCAATTCCCCAGTGTAACAGCTCTCTCCCCACTTCCTCCCTGTGTCCTTCTTTCCTATGCATTCCTGCCCCCTGAGCTGTCTCCCTGTGCAAACACTGCTCTTCTGACCTCCCACGATTGACTGTTCTAAGGAGTGTTATCTACCTGTTATAAATGTCCACCCTATATGCCTGTCTGTGGTTTGGCTGGAAGCTATGGGAGTGAGTTGAATTCTAGACCTGAAGGGTAACTAGGGGCACAGTCTCAAGCATTTCCCAAGCTCTGTCAGACCAGCAAACCTGGGCTTTTTTATGCTTTTTGATTTGCTAAGCCAGGTTTCCATGCAACTTGTATTTCTCTCATCTGCTAGCGCCCACAATGGCTGCAGTTCCAAATAGTAAAAACAGAAAGCACTTTGGACAAAGGTAAGAAGATCGAAGCAAGACCCCAACTGACACAAAGCACGGCTCCCTCCTTTGGGGTCAGGATACTCTCAGTAGCACCTGGGCCCCACAGCCTGTCCTCTCCTTCTGCCCAGAGGGAGGAAAAGCCACAAGCCTTAGTCGACTTACCAGTAGGTTTTGCTCAGATACTGGAAATAGTACATGTAGCAGCCTGTGGAGGGGTCTTGTGCGTACAGCGCCTCTCGCCTCTTGGCATCGGTGATCTCGATGAGGTCCCCGTGGTACTCCACCACAAACTCGCCCCGCGAGAACTGCTTGGTGGCGATCACTCCCCGGCCTTTGCCATCGATGAGGTCAATCTGTCGGGAGAGGGGGAGAGAGGATGGCTTTAACAGCAGCAAATGTCACCGTGCACGGCTGCCCCCTGGGGGCCTGGGGCCCACACCGATTCATGCCAATAGCTTCCTAGAGACAAACGATAAGAGTCATTCATTTAAGTGCCCAGTTCAATGGGCTTTAGCAAGTGCACAGAGCTGTGCAACCGTCACCACGATCCAGCTTTGGGATCCTCCCATCACCTCAACAAGCCATTCTGCAGGCACTAGTGTTACATCGGCACCCCTGAGAGAGCTGCTAGGCAGGCAGCACTGACCCACCTTGTGGACAAGGAGACTGAGGCTGAGAGAGGCCAAGCCACACAGGAAGTGGTGTGGCCGGCACTCACGCTCACGTACAGGAGGTGGGGCCTGGTGCTCTGAGCCTCCCCTTCACCCCTTCATCTGCCCGGGTTTCTCCTCATTCCAGCGTACATGGAGCTGAGGGGGGCTGCTTCAGGGGCCGAGGACTGACGTTCAGATACCTGATGGTGGTCTGAAGCTTTCAGACCCGTGACCACCACTACCCCTTTCTTGTGCCACCCAAATGCCTTTGAAGAGTTCAAAGGGAAAAGCAAATTTGGTCACGTCATCAGAAGGGACCATTCCCTGAAGAGGGATATCATGCTTGGTGAAGTGGAGGGTCAGCCAAAACGGGGAAGGCCCTCAGCGAGATGGACTGCAAGGCTGGCGGAGGACTGGGCAGCGTTTTGGTCTGTTGTACATAGGGTCGCTATGAGTTGGAGCTGACTGGATGGCACCTGACAACAGCCGCTGCCAAAAAAAACTTGTTATTGTTGTTGTTTGCTGTCGAGTTGGCCCCGACTCATAGCGACCCCTCCTTGGGTTTCCGAGGCAGTATCACTACGGAAGGAGGATTGGCCCAACCTTCCTTCCAAGGAGTGGCTGGTGGGTTTGAACCGCCAGCCTTCTGGTTAGCAGTCAAGTGCCTTAGGCACTATGCTACCAGAGCTCCTAAAAAAAACTTAATTCAGGAAAAATATATTAACTCATCCTTTTAAAAGTCCCCCGGCATCACGCCGAGAGCAGCCAGACAAGAAAGGCCGCACGGTGCAGGATGCCATTTACATGAACCGTCCAGACAGGCAAACCCACAGAGAGAATGTAGATTAGTGGTTGTCAGGAGCCGGGGAGTGGGGTGGGGGTGGGGATGCAGAGTGACTCTTAACGGGTATGGAGTTTCCTCTGGGGGCGATTATGAAAATTCTGGAACTGGATAGAGGTGCTGGTTGTACAACATTGGGAATTCACTTAATACCACTGACTTGTACGTTTTAAAGTGTTTTAAACACATTTTATGTTATTTTAATTCCAACTCGTAGCAACCATAAGAGCAGAATTGCCCCATAGTGTTTCTGAGGTTGTAAATTTTTAGGGACGCAGACTGGCACACCTTTCTCCTAGACAGGCTGGTGGGTTCGAACAACCAACCTTTTGGTCAGCAGCCACATGCTTTAGCCATTATGCCACCAGAGCCCCACATTTTACCACACTTTAAAGAGTTTTTCCAGCATAACATTCCTCCACACAGGTTTTGTATTTGGTCCCCTGAGAACGCATCAGAGTCTGACAAGTCACCAGCCACTGAAGGGTTAAAGCAATGTGGCAGCCGCTCTTAGCCACAGGGCTCCGGAACCAGGGAAGGTGCTGCAGCCTGAGCCCAGAACAGTGGGCACCCGTCGCCCCTCACCTTCATTCCTTCTTCCTTCCCACTTTCAATCAGCTCGTCGATTCTCTTCCTCTCTTCAGACTGGGTGGAGGGGAAAGGGGAAAAGGAGGTTAGCTGAGCCCATTCTGAGGCATATGGCTGCCCAGCCCCAGCCCCCAGCCCCACTGAGGACCCCTGGCAGGGTGGGGTAGGTCACAGGTGGCCTCCACGATACTGGTGTCCAAAGGATGCCAGAGCCCCCAGGTACCCCTCCTCTCCCCCATCTCCCACCTGTGGAGGACAACCTGTCACCTGGGGTTCAGATGGACCAGGAGGGTCACAGTGGTGGCCCAGACTGTGGTTCATGGGTATGCACTGTTTGGCCCACAGCAGGTTTTGAAAAGTATTTATAACACTGACATCTAAAATCCAGGAATGTGAATCAGCTGGGCTGACTAGAGACTGCCCCCTACAGGCAGGGTGTGGGAGCCACATGTTCCTCTTATGAGCCGGCTGCTGCCGACTCTATCAGCTGTGGCCACGGAAGAGAGAGGGCCTCCCACTCGGGAGAGCCTGTGCCAGCCTGTGTGGCCTTTCCTTCAGGCCGCCCCGCCTGTGACGACCACCTGCCCCTGATCACAGTCCCGCTACCTGGTCGTGACCCAGCCTGTGCCACATGAGACTTCTCTGGTCACTCAGTCTACACCTATCTCTGGGATCCCTGCAATGGACCAGATGCTACAATAGGTGCTGGGGACGTAGGAGTGGGCAAGACCAGGTCCCCATGACCTCTAGGCTGGGCTTAAAGACCCTACAGAGAGAGCCACCGCTGCTCTCTGGTCCCACCTGTGGCAGCAGCCTTGCGGGCCTTAGCTTTCACTGCCCACCGCCCCAGTCTGTGCTCCACACGGCAGCCAGAGGGGTCTTTTAAAATGTAAAGAGACCGAGCAATTTTTCAGTAAGTTTACTAAAGACTAAGGTGTCAGTGCTTGTTCTCTAGTTGCAGTGAAAGTGCACGGCACTAAGATAAGATGCTAACCACGCGGCGGGCTGGGTGAGGGTCCACAGGCACTCTGTACGGACACACCTCGTTTCATGGCACTTCACTCCGGTGTGCCTCACAGATACTGTGCTTGTACAAGTTCAAGGCTTGTGGCAACCCTGCGTCGAGCAAGTGTATCGGAGCCATTTTTCCAACAGCCTGTGCTCACTTCATGTCTCTATGTCCTGTGTTGGACATTCTCTCACTACCTCAAGCTTTTTCATCATGCTATTCATAGACTACGATATAGTGTAAACAGAGCTTTAATATGCACCGGGAAACCAAACAATGGGTGTGACTCGTTCTACTGTGAAATTCGCTTTATTGAGGTTGTCTGGAACCGAACCTGCAATATCTCTGAGGCATGCTCGTACCGTCTTTACAACTTTTCTGCAAATCTGAAATGATTTCAAAATACAGACTTTAATTGTTCTACATTCTGTTTTGGGGTCTTAAAAGCTTGCAAGCGGCCATCCAGATGCAACAATGGGTCTCTCCTCATCCTGAGCAAAGAAGAATGAAGAAAACCAAAGACACATGGACACAATTAGTCCGAGGGACTAGTGGACAGTGAGAACTTCAGCCTATGTGACCACAAGACCAGAAGAACTAGATGGGGCCCAGATGCCACTGTCAACCACTCAGCAAGGGACCAGTGCAGATCCTGGGGACAGTGGGAGAAAAATGTGGAACAAACCTCAAAGCCATAAAAAGGACCAGGCTTACTGGCCTGAAAGAGACTGGTGAGACCCCTAATATATGGGCCTTAGTCACCCTTCGGGGCTGGAATTGAACTCACTCCCGTGGCTTACAGCCAAACAACAGACAGACATACAGGGTGAACATCTACACCAGGCAGGTATACTCCTATGAACGATCAAATCAATCGGGGGAGAACAGAAGGGCAGTGTTTGCACAAAGACACAGCTGGGGGGAGGGCAGGAATGCACAGGAAAGAAGGACACAGGGAAGAGGAAACTACAGGGAGGAAGTGAGGAGAGAACAGTTGCATTGTGGGGATGGCAGTCAACGTCATGAAACAAAATGTGCATGAACTGCTGAATGGAAAATGAATTGAATTTGCTCTGTAAGCTTTCACCCAAATCATAATTAAGGCGGCACGGGGGTGGGGTGGGGGTGGAGTTCATTTTAAAAAAAACAAAAGCCCTTCCACCAGCTTCCCAGTGCCACTGGCATACGATCCCGAGGGTGGTCTTCGAGACTCTGAAGGGGCTGAAGCCACCTCTTCTGTTCCAGCTCCCTCTCTCGCCCTCGCTCCCACACTCACTCCTTCAAAAGGCTAAGCTCACTCCTGCCTCAGGACCTCTGCACCTGCTGCTGCCCTGCCTGGAATGCCCTTCCCCCAGCCACATACATGCTTGCTTCCTCTCTCCTCAAAGGCAACCTCCTTAGAGACACTTTCTCTGACTACTGTGCCTAAAGCTTGGCCACTCTATCAAACCATCCCTTTTTAAAAATCAAGGTAGCATCACAGTCTGCAGGCATTCCCTAGCGAGTCATCCCTCTGTGTTACTCGCCTCCACTTAAATGTAAATTCCAAGCATCCGGGGCCTTGAGCTTGTTTCCAGTGGAGGTTCCCAGCCTAGCCCAATGTCAGGCACAGTGAACCCTCCAAGCAGGTGGCTGGAGGAGGGACTGCCCCGCAGTGCTGCCCAGAAGGCGGGGCCGAGGGGCTTGGGTTTCATCCTGGACGCTCTGGGGCTTTAGGTATTTCAACGTCAGCTCTGGCTCCCATGGGAGAGTACGGGCAGCAGCCCACAGGGTGGCCCGGAGGCAGCATGAGTGGAAGGTAGGCTGGGTCTCTACTACGAAGGAGGGGACAGGCCTGAGATATTCAGGCCCCGGGACTGGGCAGGAACAAAGAAGCCAGGGCGCGCCACAGGTGTGGCCCCTGCCCTATGGTGACCGCCACCCCACCTGCACCCAGGCCCACCTGCTAAAAGGCCTCCGCAGTGAAGCTCCTGGGGTTCAGGGCACTTCTCCAAGGGCCCACCCTGGGATTAAATCCTCAGCTGTTCCCACCCTCTTGCCCTGGACCTGCCCCACCCACCCTGTCTTCAGACTCAACGTGGTGTCGGCAAAGCTTTTCATTTCGGTTTCACTCTGGCTCCCCACAGCCTTCTGTGCCCTGCCCCACCCTGGCCCCCAGCCCAGGCCCAGTTCCTGCCAGCCCAGAAGGGCAGCCAGGTCAGCACTGAGCTCACCCTTCAGACGAGGCCCAGCTGCCCCACCCTCGGGCTGTCCCTCTGCAGTCAGCAGAATCTACACCCTGAGGGACAACCCTCGTATTGCCCTGATCAACAACTCGTCACCCTCACCAACAACCAACCCCCTCATCACCCAACCAACAGCCTCCTCATCGCCCTGACCGACAACCAATCTCCCTGTCACCCCATTAACAAGCCCCTTGTTGCCCTGACCGATAACTAACACCCTCATCTCCTGACCAACCACCCCCTTGCTGCCTCACCAACAACTCCTTTGTCATGGCATTCACTCAGCAAAGTCCACACATGAGGGGTGCCACACAGCTCTGCATAACGGGCTCTGGGGGAGCAAATGCGTGCTCCCTTTCCCTTGTCTGCTGCAACACCAAGCATGCGGCAGCCTCCCCCACAGCAGCCCTCATGCCTCTGCCCAGACAAGCACTGGTTTCCCATTAAAAAGGCCATCTCAGCCACACCGGGCCCCGAACCCCACGGGCCCCCTCCCCAGGCCCCCAGTGAGCACGCCACAGCGCCCACCACGGCAGGAGGCAACCCGGGCTCTGCGGCGCTGTGCCGGCCTCGCCCTTCTGCAGTGCTGCCTACACGATGACCTAGCATAGCCTCCCACTGCAGGCAAACATTTCCCAACAGCTTGTTCTTGGCCGAAAGCTAGCGCCTTTCCCGCAAATCGAGCCAGAGCGTCTTTCAGGGTGGGGGAGGGGGAGGAAGGACTGCTTTTTTGTCTGTTGCCTTAAATGAGCCTCATCGGTTGGTTAAAAGAGAGAGACAGGGACTACTAGCCCACTGTGAATCTTCGTGAGGGTCCAACGCTCAAGCTCACAAAGCAGGGGCCCCCGACCTTTTTGTGGGGGAGGCAGTCAGTCACACTGCTCCTGATGCTTGAGACTGCTTTGGGGGTGTGGGGCAGGAGAGGGGCTGACCCACCTCTGCAACAGCGGCACCTTCCCCCCCGGTCCCAGGCTCCCACTGGACCTGCCAGAGCCACCTCCCGGTAAGGCCTGACTTTCCGTGGCATGTGCTAGAGGTGACACAGGTCCCCCCCAGCTGCCTTGGCTCAGAGACTCAGTCAGGAGGCAGAGCCAGCTTTCCGATAATCCTCATTAGCCCAGGGGAGAAAACCCAGGGCAGAAACACAGAGGGACTTGCCCCAGCTGGAGTCCCGCCCACCACGCGTGCTCCCAGGGCCACTCCGCCCCTCCAAAGACTAGAATTAAAGCTACATGACTCTGAGCATGAACCAGTCCCCTCTAGTCTAAGACCAGAACTAGACGGCACCCGGCTACCACCACCAACCGTTCCGACCAGGGACGCAAAAGACAGTCCCAGACAGGATGGCAGAAATATGTCAGACAAAACTCAAATTCCTACAACAGACCAGCAGAGACTAGAGGAACCTCTGGGTTACTCTTGAAATGGAAGCCAGTCCTGTAGTCTGCTACGATCACCTATGAGCCCAGAAGGCCAACGTTTGCCCTAAATCAAAGGTGAGAAGGAGGGCGCAGAATGGGGGCTCCATGAACAGAGAGAGACCAAACACAACGGAAATTAAGAACACTGACACACCGCGCAAACGTGACCAGTGTCGCTGCACGGTACATACAGAAATGGCTCAAGGGGACCCTAATCTGCTGGATAAATTTTCACCAGGAAAACAGTGTTATCAGAAAAACAAAACGAAATCCCGGACTCCACCTGTAGCTCGGCTTTGCTCTTCCGGGAGCTCCTTCGGACCGGGTAGAAGTCCGTGAGTTTGCGATTCTGCTGCGTTTTTCCTTGAGCTCTGGGGTAGAGAGAGGAGAATGACGAGTGAGTATTAGTGTAAAAAATCACGCTGGCACCGCGAGGCTCCAGGGAGGTGATGTGACTTAAACACTCTCTGTCCACTGGGGTCTGATGGGGACCTCGGGGAGTATCAAAGACAGGCTGCCCACTCTTGGGGAGAGGGAAGGCTCTTGAGCCAGGGACCCAGGCAGGACTGAGGTGCTGACCAAAAACAGCATGGCTGGTGACGACCCCAGCGATGCCGGGACAGTGACCACTCCACCCTGACTGCCCCACGCCGTGTTGGGAGCATTCTTACTTTTTCCGTGGGCCTTGCTTGCCCTTGACGGGTTTCTTCTGGGCTGGCTTGGCCATGGCTGCGTTGGGAGAATCACTAGATGAGGTTGGAGTTTTTGGAGGTTCTGCTGCTTCCGATTTTTGGTTTGGAAAAGGGGCCAGGGGGCCTCTCCCGGCATCTTTGAGCTTCTGTTCCTCGGCCTTCACAGGGCTTCGGACGGCATTCCCGGTGCTTCTTTTCTCTGGGGACAGAAGGTGGGGAAGACACAGGCTGACTGCTGGCACCCAACGTCTGGACAGTCAGCTGCATTCTACGACAGGCCTGGGGAAGAGGGTGCTATGGGGTGCCGGCTGCTGTGGGAGCCACGCCTAGCTCTCACTTTTGACTGAGACCTGGGCAGGGCATTTGGGCGTCTGGGCCTTGACGTGGGAGGAAGCCTCGAAGCAGCAGCTGCATTGCAGACAGTGCTGCTGGCCTGGGCCCCAGCCAGAGCCTCCGGGAACCGGGCTGCAGGCTCCCTAAGAGGCAGCTGTGCGGGTGCTGGAGGGGAGCAAGGGCAGAGGCGGAGCCTCCTCCCCAGCACAGAGCCCATGTCAGACTCCTGCGAAGAGTTCCCTCTGGAACAGGCAGGGGGCCCAGCGTTCATGTCCAAGGTGAATCTCAGCTGGGTGTGCTGCGAGGTGCATCCCAAATGATTTGCTAGTAAACAGTTACAAAGCATTGGTGCAGGTGAATAATTCACCTTTATCTATTTAAAAAAAATTATTTTCTAAAAATAAATAAGTCACGCATTGTGGATGGGGATGTGAAATGATGCAGCCGCTCGGGTCAACGGTCTGCCAGCTCCTCAGAAGGTTAAACAGAGTTACTATACGCCCTAGCAATTCCGCTCCTAGATGGGAACCCAAAAAAAACCCAAAAACCTACTTCCACACAAACGCTTGTACAGGAACGTTCATAGCCTCATTATTCCTAACAGCCAAAAAGTGATAGCAACTCAAGTGTCCACAAATGGATGTATGGATCAACAAAATGTGGTCTATCCACACAATGAATACAATCCAGCCCCCAAAAGGCATGCGCTGACATGTGCTACAATGTGGAGACATGTGCTCAGTAAAGCGGCCAGACACAAACTGCCACATAGTATAGGATTCCATTTCTAGGCAAGAGGCAAACCCACAGACACAGAAAGCAGACTGGTGGTTGCCAAGGGTTAGAGGGAAGGGGGGATGGGCCTTTTGGGGAGATAAAAATGTTTGGAACTAAACAGTGGCGAAGGTTTCACAACTTTGTGAATATACTAAAAACCACAGAACTGTCCATTTTTAAATGGGGAATTTTATGCTCTCTGAATTATACCTCAATTAAAAAAAGAAAAGAATACACATCTGGGAAGACTTTCAGACCACTCTCACCCCCTGCCCCAACATGCTTTCTTGGGTGAAACCAAAGGGAGGAAAGGCTACCCTGGAGAGTGTGGTGCCCATGAATGCCATCTCTCATGTCAGTGTGTGTCACAGCACAAAGGCGGCCAAGAATCACGGACAGGAGCCTGGTCCTTGGGGTCACGCCCAAAGTACATCAACCCTAACTTCTAATGGTGGGTATCCAGGAACACTAGGAGCCCAAGGGCACTGGGTGGCACAAACAGGTGAGTGCTCAAACACCAGATGAAAGGTCAGGGACTCACACCCACTCAGAGGCGCCTCGGCAGACAGGCCTGGCAGGCTCCTTCTGAAAGGGCACAGCCTTAAAAGCCCTGCATAGCATGGTTCTGCTCTGCACACATGGGGGGCCCAGAGTTGGGATTTACTCAAAAGCAAGTTGTAACAACGTGAGCCAAGTAAGTCTGTGCGCTAGTAGCTCAGGCACCAAGCCCACTCACTCCAAAGAGGACATGAGCCTGGCCAAGCGCCATTTACATAGAGCCCCCTCCCCAGTCCCTACGTGCCAGGTGCCAGGTCACGGGCCACAGGTACAAGGGTGAGCAGGACGCAGAGCTCCCGTCCAGGAGGGGCAGCCCAGTTCCGGGCCACTTCATGGAGCCCTTCTGCACAGAAGCTTTAACTGTCCTTCAAAGAGGACTCCTCTCTGTTCCAATGGACAGCTGAGGAGGAGGCTCGGAGAAGAACAGCCACCTGCCCAGTTTTCAGCAGCTGGCATCGAGTCGGCTCTGACTCACAGCAACCTGTCCATCAGAGCAGAACTGCTCTCCGTAGAGTTTTCACTGGAAGGAAGGTTGGGCAATCCTACTTCGTAGTGATACTGCCTCAGAAACCCAAGGAGGGGTCGCTATGAGTCGGGGCCGACTCGACGGCACATAACAACAATATTTTGCAAGTAAATCACCAGGCCTCTCTGCTGAGGCACTTGTGGGTGTACTCAAACCACCAACCTTCCAAGCAGCAGCAGCCAAGCATGTGAATTTTTTACATCACCAGGGACTCCGTAACTTGCCCAAAGGTCTTCTACTTTTAAGTGGCAGAGCTGGGATTTGAACCCAAGTCTTCTGAAAACTGACTGAGAGATTACTTTGTGCCCCGGGGGAGATACAGCCAAGGGCTGGCTCCCACCCCAGTCCGGTTCAGGGCTTCCCTACCCTGTGTTCTCAGCTCTGCCCAGAGGCGGGCTAAACAATCATTGTTAACATTCTGTAAATGAATACCACAAAACGTGGATGAACTTGGAGGACAGTATGCTGGGTGGAACAAGGTGATCACCAGACAAATACTGCAGGAGTACACTATTAAAATGCAGCCAGAGGCTCTGCTTCTTTCAGGCAAGTTGTAAGCAAGAAGGGAGCATGATGCGTTGGGAGAAGTCACCTCTCCACTACAACTTTACAAAGGAAGATTAGGATTAAAGCAAAATTTCTAAGGAGTTTCAGCTTGTGTTGCAGGACCAGACGGAACTGTCAACAGCGGTACATTTTCTAGTTTAAAATCCTAACCCTAGATCCCAACACAGGAGTACACTACTTCAGAGATGAGCACTAAACCCTCAAGAGGAAAGAAACTTGGGAATCGGGCTTAGGGTCAGCTCCTAACAGGGAAGGAAGTTTCCTCCTCACGTTCACACATCACCGTAGCTAGGACTGCAACGGCTGGCTTTGCAGAATCTAGACTGCTTGCTTCTGCACTTCCAGCGCTTGAGAGCTGCTTTAATTGAAGGTCAGGTGCGTTGCTTTTGCAACCTGCCCAGACAAGTGAACTTGCAGGATATGCTAGCTCTTGTGAATGCAGGGAGAACCTATTAGGCCAACGGGGCACACGCCCTGGGCTAGGCCACTGTTTCCTCCTGTGTCTGTGCTCAAACAGAAAGAAGGTGGTGCGCACAATAAACCAGCTGCCACCGAGTCAATTACGACTCATGATGACCCCATGTGTGTCAGAACAGAAGTGACCTCCACGGGGTCTCCAGGGTCTGATTTTTTTAGAAGCAGATTGCCAGGCCTTACTTCTAAGGCACCCCTGATTAAACTTGAACCCTCAACCTTCTGTTTAGCAGCCAAGCATGTTAACTATCTGCACTACTGAAAGGCTCTAAGTCCATAGCGTCTGTGCATTATGACGAGGGCGTGCGATTTCTGACACAATCACCCGCCCCTGCCGTCAGAAAGGCCCGTGCCTGAGGCTTACCTTCTCGCTTCCGGTAGATTCCAGCTAATGGCTTCGCCTGGCATTTGCCTTCATGATGTGTCACTGAATTCTCTTCTTGAAGCGGGGAACGCATCCCAGAGCATTTGTTCGGGCTCATGTAGGAATAGATCTTTGACTGTCCGGTAAACACGTTCTCCTAAAAAGACAAATGTGACTTCTGAAAGAGGCTTGAAGGAGACAGGCACAAGGGCCGCATAACATTTAAAGGGAGGGGGGAAAATTCCGCATACAAATGACAAAAACAAACATCATCATCAAGGAGGCCGCCCCCCAGTCTCAGGAGAGCACTGGAAGGGTTTGAATCTCCCAGATCCAGGTCAAGCCCTCCAAGGAAGGAAGGTCTCTGACTCTGGGCACTCAGGAGATATGTGACCAGTAGAACCAGCTGTGCACAAAGGTGTATGGAAAGGAGACAACCAAATAGCAACAGTGGCCCCAAGGACCCACGGCAAACAAAGTGGGAGGAGTCTGAAGGGCAGGGCGGCTGTGCGACAAAGGTCGAAGTGCCTAAGGCATCTGACGGCTGACCAGATGGCTGGCGGTTCAAACCCACCAGCCACTCCTGGGAAGGCAGATTGAGCAATTTACTTCCGTAGTGATACCGCCTGGGAAACCCAAGGAGGGGTCGCTATGACTCGATGGTACTGAGTTGAGTGACTTCAGCCAGACAACCCCATGAACCACCTTTCAGTCCCCAGGCCAGCTGGTGCGGCTTGTCAGCACAGCCTGAGCCTTCTGTGTGCCCAAGCCCGCCCCCTTCGAATCACTGCACCACCCCGAAGCCTCCCAGGGCCGCGGTTGGGGGAATTCTCTCAGAGTGACTGGGGGAAGGGGAGCTAAGGAAAGCAAGCCTCCAGCCAGCGCACTTGGGGCGGTCACTGCACTGCAAACCGCACCTTGGCGTTAATCACAGTGTGCAGGCCGCTGGGGCGGGGCAGGTCACCGCTGGAGTCTCTGGGGGTGGGGCCTCTCCGCTGAGTAAGCACAGACGGGAGGAGGGCGCCCCCAGGAACAATGCCAGGGCCTCTCGGAGGGCCCGGGGAGCCTCCCAGTCGGCGTGCCCCTGAAGGCCCCCGCACCCCCTGGGAGCAAAGCCACCTCCGGGGACACCGCGCTGTGCGGTGTGCGGATGGCAAACTTTTTGAGGTCAAACACCGCCGCGGCCCCGGGGCCAGGCTCATGGCGGAGCAGCGTGGACGCCGCTCCCCGACAGGCGACCGAAAAGGAAAGTTGCCCCGGCCGGGCGTCCCGCCCAGAGCGCGCCGGGGATCCCAGGGGGCGCCCACGTGCTCGCGGCCCGGTCCCGGCGGGCGGCCCGGCGGGGCGCTCGGCGCGGAGAGTGAGTGCGGGGAGATGCCTGCTTACCCCGTCGGTGCGGGGCCTCCCCGGGCCCCTCCGCTCCACCATCTCCGGGCCCGGGGCCGTCGCTGCC